GAAGGAAGGAAGGAAGGAAGGAAGGAAGGAAGGAAGGAAGGAAGGAAAGAAAGAAAACGCTAGATCAACAAAGACAGGGCGATGCAGGACCCTGGACTTACAGAGCACTCAGCTTCTCGGATCCTGACCATCATCTGCAGGAACCAGGGACAGTTCAATCCCCATCCCTTTCCCAAAAGTTCCTGTCCAGCTCCCCACCGCAGACCACAGCCCAATTCCTGCCATTCACCCGCAGATCTTGCTTAAAGAGATGTCTTCCACAGCCATGGGGTTGCGAGCCTGAGGCCATCTGCTGCTGACTGTGGCTGCTGCTCTGACCCTGCGCATGAGGCTGTCTGGTGAGACTCCCAAATGCCTCCAGACCCTAACCTCAGTAGTCACTCTGGGTGAAGCATGTTGGGATTAAAGGTGTGCACCATCACACCCAGCCCCAATTCTTAATTTTTTAAATTACATTTTGATTGATTGATTGAGTAATGATTGATTGATTGATTGATTAATTAATTGATTGATTGGTTGGTTGATTTTTTGGGGGTGGCACATGTGTGGAAGGTCACAGGACAACTTGTGGTAGTTGTTCTCTCCTTCCACCATATGGGTCCCAGGAACAGGAATTGAGCTCAGTTGTCCTTTACCCCCTGAGCCATCTTATGAGCCCAAGGGTTCCACTGTTTTTTCTCTCTCTCTCTCCCTCTCTCTCTTTCCTGGAGGCAGGGTTTTATGTAGCCCAGGCTGGCTCCAACTCACTATGTAGCCAAAGATGACCCTGAATTCCATATCCTCCTGCCTCTACCCGCTGAGTGATGGGATGACAGATATGCCACCATGTCCATGTCTGGTTTATGTGGTGTTGGGGATGAACTCAGGGTCTCGCACATGCTAGATGAGCGCTCTACCCACCGAGCTTCAAGCACTCTACCCACTGAGCCACAAGACTCTCCACTGAGCCCCAACCCACAGCCCTCCCAATCGCTAATTTTGCTTCTGCCTCCTCTGCCCAGCCTGCACCCTTGTTCTGTGGGAGAGCTGCCTCATTGGCCCATCCCCTGCCCTGGTACCTCACACAGCTGCCCCTGTGCCAGGTTGCTGCGGAGCCCAGATTGTTGGGGGCCACAGGTGAAGCCACACTCCAGGACCTACATGGTCTCTGTGAGCTTTGAGGGCCAACACCAGTGCACAGACTTCCTGCTCTGTACTGGCTGGGTGGTGTCTCACTGACAGGTGAGATGCAGCAGTCACCAAGGGTCAAACTCCAGACAAGCAGGGAGTTAGTTTGTGGTAGGCGGACCAAGTCCACTCTCAGTACTACTGCGGATAATCAAATATAATAATCACTATCACCTTCATTTGAAGCATTTAATTTTTGATTATAACTAATATGCCAGGTATGGTGGCACAGGCCTATAATCCCAGCTACCCAAGACGGTTGAATCAGAAAGATGGAAATTTCAAGGTCATCTCTCAGGCTGTAGATGGGGACCCTGACTCAAAAAATAGAAAGGAAAAATAGTTATGGGAGTACTGCTCAGGGACAGAGATCCTGCCTAGAATCCCCCAATGAGGGGCTGGGGGCATGGCTCAGGGGTAGAGTGACAGCCCAGACTCTCCCAGTAAGGGGCCCAGGGGGTGACTCAGGGGAGGAACCCCTGCCTAGTGTATTAAGGCTTTGTTTAATCTTCAGTATGGCAAAATAATAACATGCTATCCTGGAATGAGAATTATAGCATGATTGTACTGCATTAATTCAAAGTTTTTTTGTTTGTTTGTTTGTTTGGTGTTTTTGTGACAAGGTCTCCTTGTAGCCCCAGCTGGCCTGGAACTCACTATGTAGACCAGGCCTGCCTTGAACTCACAGAGATCTGCCTGCTGGGACTAAAGGCTTATGCTGCCAAGCGCAGCTCAAAGTATTTTCATGACTATTCTGATTACTAGGACTAGAGGCTGAATGAGGCCGCTGGGGGGGTGGCAGGAAGTTGGAGATGGTAGGGGCTGCATGAATACCCTGCTGATCTCTACCTCTCATCTCCCTATAGGGACACCTCCACTGGGCCCATGCATTGCCAGTCCTGGAGCCCACGAGGCAGGTGTTTGGCATTGGGGCCATCATCCTGCATCCCAATTACCAACCTGACACACACACCAGTGACCTCTGCCTCCTGAGGGTAAGCTGGGCTGACTTCTGAGCTCATTTGTTTAATTTTCTTGGGTGTTGGGGTTGAGCACAGGCCCTTGTTATGCCCCAGGCCCCTCAATTCTGTTTGAAAAAATGCCTGGAGGGACCGGGAACCCCTGAACCCTGTCACGTCTGTCTTCTGCCCAGAGCCTTGCATGGCTCCCAGCTCTGTCCAGAGTCCCAGAATCAAGCCTGGGCACCCCTGGGTCATGCTCCTCAAGGGTGGGACACAGTGTTGCCCACAGTGATTCTCAGATGCCCCACATCCCCAGGGACAGCAGGATTCAGGAGCAGCAGGTTCTTAGCAGAAGAAATGAGGGAGATAAGAGTTTTAGCATCTGGAGCCTGGGGGTGACATCTCAATGGCCAGAGTCCCCTCCAAGGCCACCTGGTCTCCTGCCTAGGTGGAGAGCTTGAGGCTGAAGAAAATGGAGAGACTGAAGGCGAGGAAGCTAGGAAACTGAGACGGAGCTGCAGCCAGGCATATAAGTCTCAAACCTGGGCTGGGTCTTTCTTTCTACACTATCCAGCTGAGTGACAGGGGAAGCCACACAGGCATAAGTGACCACCCCTCACCTAACAGGGGTCACAGCTTGCAAAACTGGTGCATGGGGCTCCCCAGGAGCTGCCCCCTGCACTGGGGAGTCTGGAGGGCACACCTGAACACCTGGAGAACCCCCAGGGGTTTGGAATGGAAAGTCCAGAGCCTTCGCCCCAAGAATGGTAGAAGTCATGGAGGGCAAAGAAGCAAAGGGAACAATGGGCAGCTGAGAGATGGGGCTGAGAAGTCAGAGTCCTGGTCCACAATGGAGCTGCCTGGTGGGCAGGGGAAAAGGGAACAAAGCTTGCATCAGAGTGGATCACAGCTGCCACTGATTCTTGACAGTGACCATGCTCAGGGGCTTCAGGGGGCATACTGAGGCCAGAATGGTCTGAGCAGCAAAGGGGGAGCAGTGGGTCTCAATCCAGCATTCTCCTCACAGCTGAATGGCTCTGCAGTCCTGGCTCCTGCTGTGAATCTGGTATGGCTGCCACCAAGAGGTGCCACACCACTCTTGGCCAGGATGCAGGGCCGGTTGAAGTTTTGTGTCTGACTTGGAGGAGCCTCCCCCAGGGCTGATGGAGACTGAAGTGCGTGTGCTGGATCTTGCTGCCTGCAACAGCTCCTGGCAGGGTCAGCTGAACACAGCCTGCTTTGTACCCACAGTAGGGACTACCTGTGGAGAGGTTTCTGTTCAATTAAGATTTCACACCATAACTGGGGAAACTGAGGCAAGCAAAGGGGGATTGGAGTTGGACAGGGGGTTCCTTGGGAACTGAGCCCCACTAGTGTTGGAGCAGCTGCAATAATTGAGGCCCAGGAAGGTTGGAGTGGTTGAGAGACACACAGGATTTTTTATGCTCAGCTGTGCAGGCTGCACAGTGCACAAAAATGCCCTGGGCAGAAACAAGACAGCTTGGACAACGCTCCTAAAATCTGATTCTGTACAGCAAGTTGGAGTTTTAGTTGGTTGGTTTTTTTTGTTTGTTTGTTTGGTCTTTTTTGAGTGTCTACCTGTAGCCTCAGCTGGCCTGGAACTGGATATGCACACAGGCTGGCCTTGAACTCAGAGATCCACCTGCCTCTGCCTCCAGAGTGCTGGAATTAAAAATGTGTGCCACCACACCCGGCTAGGTTGGAGGGTTTTTAAATTTTTATTTAATGTGTACTAGTGTTGTGCCTGCATGCATATATGTGCATCCATGTGTGCAGTGCCTGCAGAGGTCAAAAGAGGGCGACAAATCCCTTGGAACTGGACTTTCAGACACCAGGTGGAGAGACGTTCAGGGGTTGCTGCCCAGGGATGCACGTTGTGTACTGCACAGTGACCACAATCTTATAGGAGGAGAAACAGGTTTCCTAAGACCAATACCTAACCTCATCTCTCCACTGCAGGTAGATTTTGGGGGCCCCCTAGTCTGTGGGAGCCGGGCCCATGACCTGGTCTCTTTTTTGGGCTTCTGATATGGTGCTTCCAGGACTCTGGATGTCTACACACAAGTGTCTGCCTTCGTGGCATGGATCTGGGGTGTGGTTTGGGGCCACTCCTCCCCACCATCTGTGGGGATGTCCAGTTAGAGCCACTTGAACTTCATCTCATCCACTCCAATCTGGAATATTCAATGGTTGGGGTTCAGAACCCTAGGAACTTGGGGTATGGAGTGCAGACATCCATCTCAAACTGAATGGCCTAATTGAAGGCAGGAACATATGAACTAAGCAGTTAAGCAGATACATGGATGAAGGCTTGATGTGCCATCAACTCCAGGACCCCCACCCCACACACAGCCCACAGAGTTACCCTGTCTGCCAAGACTCTTTCACAGCCCCTACACACCCTCTCCAGCACAAACTGGGCTTGTCCATGCCCACCTCACAGTCCCCACTCTGAGTGGCCCCCTGGCTTTTGTACCTGATGTTCCCCTGTCATCGAATGTCCACTAACCCCACTAAGGAAAACAGGCTGGGGGAACAAAAAATGGTGTCACCTCTCCCTGGAATCCCAAACTGGGTCTTCAGTAAGGTGCACTCAGATTTTGTTTTGTTTTTTGTTTAATATTTTATTTATTTATTTTTTGGTCTTTTTGAGACAGGGTCTCCCTGTAGCCCCAGCTGTCCTGGAACTTACTATGTAGAACAGGCTAGCCTTGCCTGCCTCTGCCTCCCAAGTGCTGGGATTAAAGGCATGCACCATGCCTGGACTTTATTTATTATTTTTATTTTATGTGTTATGAACGTATATTGCCTGCATGTATGTGAGTGCACCCATGTCGTGCAATGCCGCGGAGGTCAGAAGAGGGCTTTGGATTCCCCTAGAACTGGAGTTAAGGATGGTTCATAGCCACCATGTGCGTGCTGGGAATCAAACCCGGGTCCTCTGTAAGAGCAGTCAGTGCTCTTAACTGCTGAGCCATCTCTCCAGCCCTGTTGGTTTTTCGTTTGTTTGTTTTTTTCTTTTCTTTTTTGGTCTTTTTGAGACAGGGTCTCCCTGTAGCCCCAGATGACCTGGAACTAGCTATATGGTATATAGACCAAGTTAGCCTTGAACTCACAGAGCCTGCTTCTGCCTCCTGAGTGCTGGGGTTAAAGGTGTGTGCCACCTCAACTGGCTTAAGGTGGACTCAGTTTTTAATAATTTTTAAAAATTGTTTTGACTTGGTACTGGCATGTTGGCTCAGTGGTTAAGAGCACTAACTCCTCTTCCAGAGGACCTGGGTTCAATTTCCAGCACCCACATGGTGGCTAACAACCATCTGGAACTCGTTTTAGGGGATCTGATGCCCTCTTGTGACCTCCATAGGCATTGCAGGCAATACACTTGCATGCATAAAATTAATAGAATAAATATTTAAAAATTATTTTGATGCTGGGCATGGTGGTACACGCCTTTAATCCCAGCACTCCAGAGCCAGAGGCAGACGGATCTCTTGTGAGTTCAAGGCCAGCCTGGTCTACACAGTGAGTTCCAGGACAGCTGGGGCTACAGGGAGACCCTGTCTCAAAAAGACATATATATATATATATTGACTTATTTGGGGTTTTTTTCGGTGTCTCAAAGACAGGGTCTCCCTGTAGCCCCAGCTGTCCTGGAACTCACTGTGTAGACCAGGCTGGCCTTGAACAAAAAACAGGCTGGCCTTGAACTCACAGAGATCCGCCTGCCTCTGCCTCCTGAGTGCTGGGATTAAAGGCGTGTACCACCATGCCCAGAGACTTATTTTTTTTTTTAATTTTATGTGTATGAATCCTTACCTGCATGTATGTAAGTGCACCCATGTCATGCAATGTCCAAGTAGACCAGAAGAGGGTGTCGGATCTCCTGGAACTGGAGTTACAGATGGTTGTTAGCCATCATGTGGGTGCTGAGAACAGAATCTCCCTGTAGCCCCAGCTGGTCTGGAACTAGCTATGTAGCCCAGGCTGGCCTCAATCTCACAAAGATCTGCCTGCCTCTGCCTCAGAAGTGCTGGGATTAAAGTTTGCCCACCACAGTAGGCCCTGATATCTTAACAAACTGTGGTTCCCCTTTTCTGAACTCCTCCCCTGAGCCACTGACCAGTTTCATTTTAAAGCCATCTTGTCCCCATCCTTCTGGCAATGCTCAAAGACCCACTTCCTCTCCCTCACCTGCCTCCATCCCTTCCCAGGGTCCCATGCACATGTGAAGTGTCTTGCTAGAAGCTTCCAGGACCCCAGCACTACCCTAGTCCCCAGACTCAGAGAGAGGAGGGATACCCAGGTGGTTTTCATCAGTCTTTATTTCTTTGCTGAGGCAGAAATCCAGGGTGGGAGAGGCTGCCATGTGGGGTCTCTGAGGGACACCCCCCCAACCCCCCCACCCAGCTGAGGACACTTTTCTGGATTTTATAGGTAAGGCACTGTTGGGGACCAGAGTATGCCGGGAAAGACCTCTTGAAAAATACTTGTCCCTAAATTGGGGGGCTGGGCCTTCTTTTTAATTTTTTTGTTTTGTTTGCTTTGTTTGGTCTTTTTTTGAGACAGGGTCTCCCTGTAGCCCCAGCTGTCCTGGAACTCATTAGGTAGACCAGCTGGCCTGGAACTCACAGAGATCCACCTGCCTCTGCCTCCACCATGCCTGGCTTAATTCTTTTTATTTTTTTGGTCTTTTTGAGACAGGGTTTCCCTATAGTTCCAGCTAGCCTGGAACTTGCTATGTAGACCAGGCTGACCTCAAACTCCCAGAAATCACCTGCCTCTGCCTCCCAAGTGCTGGGATTAAAGGTGTGCGCCACCATGCCCAGCTCTGGCTTAATATTTTTTTTAAGAGACAGGGTTTCAGGCCAGCTGGAGCTATAGGGAGACCCTGTCTCAAAAAGGTGAGAGATGCCTGGTGTGGTGGAGCAAGCCTTTAATTCCAGCACTCAGGAGGCAGAGGCAGGCGGATCTCTGTGAGTTCGTTCAAGGCCAGTCTGGTCTACATAGTGAGTTCCAGGACAGCTGGGGCTACAGGGAGACCCTGTCTTAAAAAGACTAAAAAAAGGGGGGGAGAGGAGAGGAGAGGAGAGGGGAGAGGAGAGAGAGGGAGAGGAGAGAGAGAGAGAGAGAGAGAGAGAGAGAGAGAGAGAGAGAGACTGGGTCTCATGTAGCCCAGACTGCCCTCAAACTCATTACACAGCCAGGATAACCTTGAACTCCTGATCCTCCTGCCTCCACCTCCCATGTGCTGCGATGACAGGCCTGTGACACTGCACCTGGTTTATGTGGTGCTGGGGATGAAAACCCAGGGCTTCATGCATATTAGGTGAATTTACTCACTGAGCTATAAGCACTGTACCCACTGAGCTACAACCCTAGCCTTTTGGTTTTTTGGAAGGCACAAGTGGGCAATTTTGAGTGACAGCTGTCACAGCTGCAGCTGGGCTTGTAGATGAGGCAGGCTAGCTGGGTAAAGACCACCACAGGGGTCCCCTGAACAGGGCAGCAGGCGCTAGAGATGATTCCAAGGTGCTCTGAGGACAGGGAGTCCTGCAGTCCACAAGCCACCCTAAGCTTGGGAGTCAACCAGGGTTCAAGGTGCCACCCTAAGAGGATGGAACAGGGAGGGACCCAGTGCTGCTCTTAGCTGGTACTGCCTGACCCTGATCTGAGGCCAGGCAGTGGAGGTGGACATCCCCAGAGCAATGAATGACTGTGCCCAGACTCATCTGCAGGCCCATCCTCACCTCTGCTCTGAAAGCAGGTGATGAATGAGCTCAGGGAGTCTTCACTGAGCTGTCCTGGGCCAGCAGGTGTGTGGGGTGCAGGGGACTAACCTGGTCCCCACTACCTGGCCATCACACACTGGCCCTTACAAAATCTTCCAGGATGTCCTCAGGGCCCTGAGGGAATCCCCGAGTGGTCTTGGGCCATGTTTGGGGAGTGTCCAAGTGACATAAATTAGACTCTTCTGTGATAATAAATAAAATAGGGTCGGCCTCCAACGCCAGGGCCACGGGCTGCCGCTCACAGGAAGTTTTCCTCTTCCTCAGAGGATGTGGCCTCTGGTGACACCTCGGGGACACCTGTGGGGATGGCGGAGGAGGTGAGCTGCGGAACCCTGTGAGGCCTGGGGAGAGAGGGTGTGCTGCGTGGCCCCTACTGGGGCACGGGGGACCCCGTGTCTCACCGATGCAGCTACCCGGGTGGCGCACCCCGATGGAGCGGCCCAGGAAGCAGGTGGCCCGGCGGAGGTGACACGAGGAGATGTAGGTGACGTTGTTGTTGCCGCAGAGCTCCCGGCCCGGGCTGGAGGGCAGTGGGCAGGGCGCTGCACGACACACCACGCAATGCGCGCTGCCCGTCTGGTCCACGACGCAGGACTGTGGGCGAGGGCACACCACGTTTGCGCAGGACTCTGTTGGCCGGACAGAGGAGGGTCAGGGAAGCTGGGGAGTCCAGCTACCGGGACAAGGTTCCACCTGAAAACCCCGCCCCCGGGCAGCAGGCCCCGCCCAGCTCTACCAAGCCCCGGCTGGTGCCCCTGCGCACGGCCCCGCCGCGGTCCCGCCCCTTGGCTTAGTAGCCGTCCGGGACCCTGAGGTCTGAAGCGGGTCCCAAGACACTGGCTTCTGCCTCAGTGCCGCGAACCGACTGCAGGTCTGCGTAGCCTCGCCCCGTGACTCCAGCCCTCCATGACCTGCCTCAGGCTGGACACCGACAACCAGGACCCGCCCTTCCCAAGCCTCCTGTGGCTCCGTTCTTCTCGGTCCGACCTCTTTCTAAGCCCTGCCCAGCCCCCGTCCTGGCCCCGCCCCCGTCCTGCCTCAGACAGACCCCGCCCACCCAGGGGGCCCCGCCCTTCCAGGCCCCTCTCTGTCATGCCTCAGGCCCCGCTCCGGTCCTGCCTCACCCTGGGCCCCGCCAACCCAGGTCCCGCCCTGTGGCCCCGCCCCTCTCTGGCCTGTCTCTTGCTGAGCACCGCCCACCCCAGGCCCGGCCTCTCTTTGTCCTGCCTCAGGCCCCGCCCCTCAGGGTCCTGCCTCTCCTCAGGACCCGCCCTGTCTAAGGCCCCCGACTCTTACTCTGGCAGCGGCCGGGGTACATGATGTGCAGGTCCGGCTGTCCACGGCATCGCGCGGTGCGCAGTTCGCACTCATCCCGGTAGGTGGCGCCGTCGGAACCGCAGACCTGCAATCCTGTGGGCAGCCCCGTGCAGTCGGGTGCGCACTCGCAGCGCGGGCGGCCCCCCAACATGCGGCAGGCCTTGCCTGGAGCGCACTCCACTCCATCACAAGAATCTGTGGGTACAGGACATACGCATGGGTTCTCCACGTGCCAGCCCACCTGTGCACCTGGCCGGGGTCATCTGTCATCCCACTTCCCGGACCTCCCCAAGGAGGTGTGGGGAAGGGGTTCACCCTGCAAAACTCCATTCTCGGGTGGGGAAACTGAGGCCAGGCTGGAAGAAGCCTTGTGCTTGGGGTCTCCACTGCGCCCCTCCCCCTTTTTATTTCGTTCTGCTCTCATGTAGCCCAGATTGGCTTCAAGCTCCATATTTACCCAGGACTGGCCTTGAACTCCCGATCCGCCTGCCTCTACTTCCCAAGTGCTGAGGACTGCAGATCTGTGCCCACCACGCTTGGCTACCTGTTAATATATTCCTTAACCACCATTTGACAGCCTGGGAAACTGAGGCCTGGATACAGCTGAGCACAAAGGGAACCAGGCGCACCCTAGCCTGGGAACTCCAGGTTGCATCCCAGGATGAGCATCCCTTCCTCTCCTGGTTCTGTTTCTTGTGGAACACTCTGGCCTCACTTTCCCTGTGTGTAAAAGTGGCTATGGAGGAACTGGAGAGAAGGCTCAGCAGTTAAGAACACTGACTGTTCTTGCAGAAGACCTGGATTCAAATCCAAGCACCCACATGGCAGCTAACAACTGTCTGTAACTCCAGTCTCAGGGGATCCGATTGCCTCTTCTGTCCTCCGTGGGCACTGCACGACAAGGGTGCACTTACTTACACGCAGGCATAACATTCATACACATAAAATAAAAATTTTTTTTTAAAAAAAAGTGGCTATGGGCTGGGCGTGCCTTTAATCCCAGTACTCGGGAGGCAGAGGCAGGGGGATCTCTGTGAGTTCCAGGCCAGCCTGGTCTACATAGTGAGTTCCAGGACAGCTGGGGCTACAGGGAGACCCTCTCTCAAAAAAGACCAAAAAAAAAAAAAGGCTATGGAGACTAGCCAACTAGCTATGGAGACTAGCCAACTAACTAGTTGGGTCAACTAGCATTCTTGAGAACAGAGGCACAGCCCCACCCCCCCCCACCCCCCACCTCGTGGCGGCACCTGAACATCCCCACACAGCCTGCCCACATACACATCTGGAAACTTCCTCTAGCTGGCCTCTTGAGGGACTGAATTCCTGTCCCCAGGGTGAGGTTGGGGAGGACAGTGCTGGGCCACCTCATGGGCCCAGAGCTTTTTCAAATGTGTCCTCTTTCCAGAAGCTAGGGATGGGGTCTGGAGGAGAGGCACAGGGGAATGAGTTTGGGACCACCCAGCCAGGCTGGGCCGAGGTTAATCAGGGCTCAGAAGCCAGCTGGGCTCCCAGACTTGGCCTTCTCTGTCATCCCACCTCATCCTTGCTGACCTGCCTGACTATCCCTATGGGCTCTACCCAGAAAACTCCTAGCCAGCTTGCAATACCCCAGATCTAATGCCCACTTCCTCCAAGCTGGGAACTTTCTCATCCTTTCAGGCTCAGCATTGACCACACGGGGGGAGGGAGCTCCAGTCAACTTGTCCTTAAAGATAGAGGGTATCTGAACTGTCACTGTGTGCCCAGTGACGGATGGGTGGCATTGCTCAGAACTAAACCCAGGTACCCCAAGTGCATTAAGTAGAATTGTTGGGGCTCAGAGCCCAGGTATGCATAGTGGGGGCAGCCACCTGGGTGTCCTCAGTAAGTTCTCTACCAGCAAGGTACAGTGCAGGTAAGGGTGATGAACCCAGGGGGTTCCCCAGAGCCTCCTCAAGCCTGACTAGCTAAATCCTGAGTCCCAGGGTGTCCCCAACTGACCCCTCTCTGAGGCTAGGGTCCTCTCTCCAGCCTCATGTCCACTCCTGGGTCTCATTGCAGCCTGAGCCCAACCCTGGGTCCTCACCTTTGCATGGGAAACAGTGGACAAGCCCCAAAAGACCCAGCAGGTTGATTTTGTTCCCTGGGTGGGTGAAGTTGGACCAGGCTCTGTCGATGTGGCCAGATGCACAGCACTCCTCCCTGCTGACATCCATCCTCAACACCAGACTGCAAGTGGCCTCTTGGCCCCGCTGGAGCCAGCATACGCCACCTATGTCCAAGATGAGGAGGAGGATGACTCTAGACCCTGGTCTCTACCTGTATGATATTCTTGCAGCAAACTCCTAAGCAATCCCCAGAACCCCAAGTCTAATGCCCCCCCTTTCAGATCTAGTACCACAGATGCCCTGTCCCCTTGCCCAGGAAGAAGGCACAGAAAGCCACACAGTTATGGCCCTGGCTTGGCTCCCCTTAGCCGCACCCCAGTGCTGCACCACCAGCTCCCACCCGGCCCCTGGGCCTGGGAACTGGCACTCAGCCCAGTCAGCCCTGTCAAATGCCAGGCACTCAGCATGTGAGGGTCCGTGGGCCTGCAGTGGCTTCCAGCCTCTGCCCTCTGTCTAGACAGTGCCCAGGGCAACCGAGCCCCCGGCCTGCAGCCCCCCCTCGCCTGACCCGCTCTTACTCACTCCAACTGGGAAACATTCCCTCAGGGTGAGCTCACTCTCCCTTGGGACGGGGACCGGGACTCGGGCTTAGGGGAGGGGGCTTGGCTCCCCTCAGAGGCCGGTGGGTGGTGCGGGGTGGGGGCTGGGTACACCGAGTACCCGACTTCCTTCACCCTTAAATGGGGACAGCCTGTATCTCCCATGTTAGAACTCTGCCGAGCTCAGGAAACCCTGTGGAATGCCTTCCAGAGACTGGGCCGCAGCACCTCAGCACCCACTTTACAGAATAGGAAACTGAGGCTGGAGCCCGCTCAGCCAGTTGCAGGTTTGTTTCCAACATGGGCTCTTAGTCTTGGGGATGCCCTCCACTCAGTATTTTTGGGTTTAACCACCCAGCGATGCCTCCTTGGGATTAGAGGAGACACCTACAATGTCCTGTCAGCACCAGAGTATGCCTTTACAAAGTTCGTGACCCCGAGCCTCAGTTTACCCATCCTGAAAACGGGAATAGAAAAAGTACCCAAAAGATTGGGTGTTCTGTGGGCTCAGTAGAAAGCAGGTAAACAGTAAGCGCTCAATAAATGTCAGTTCTCTTTGGAGACTGGAGGTGGGAAGCCCCTTGCACCCGCCCACCCAGCCTAAGTGCACTGGGAAAAATCCCCCTGCCCCATTCCGCAAGCCACGTGGGTGGCCCTCCTGCCCGCCCCTTCCGGCCAACCCCACTCACCCGGTGCGAGGTCCCCCGAGTCCACCACGGTGCCCACGAAGCCCACCGCCCAGACCAGGGTCCCCCAAGGCAGCGGCCACAGCGCCCCGGGACGCATGATGAGTGCGGAGCAAGACTGGTTCTTAGCCAGCAGCTGGCGGCACGGCCTATAAAAGGCCAAGCGGGCGGGGCGCGGCAGGCGGGGCGGGGCGGGACAGACGTGTCCCCGAGGCGCAGGGCCTGCGCGGGGGTGGCCAGCGGGGGCAGGCCCGGTCCCATCCGGAGCCAGACAGTTGCCTGGGAAGAGGGGTCCACTGCCGGGTCAGGTTACTAGCTGTGACGCTGGGGGCATGCTCTTGGGAGATGGCCCAGGTGGACACATCCAGGTGAGCCCAGGCAGACATGTCCAGGTGACCCAAGAAGACACATCCCAGTGTCCAGGGCGTACACGGTCCAGGCATCATGAGTGGACATGTACAGGGGACCCTGAGTACATTTGGAGATCTTTGGGGCTCCAGTGAAGGGGCTCACCTGGGGGTGTGTCCACAGGTCTCTGCTGGGCACCAAATTGGGGTTGCCACCTAGTCTCTTGGGCCCCCAGTCTGCCTCTCACATGGACAAGACCTGGAACCTTTGCAGAAAGGATCCCCAAACTGCCCAACAGGGTCTGTTGTTTTGAGACTCACACCTATCATCCCAGCACTACAATGAACAGGAGGATGTCTGAGTGTTCCAGGATAGGAGCAGAGTGAGACCCTGTCTCAAAATACAAATTAAAGCCAGGCATGGTGACACTGGCCTTTGATACCAGCAGAGGCAGGCAGAGCTGTGTGTGAAAGGCCTGTCTACATGATGAGACATCTCAGAAAACAAAAATAAAACAAGTAAAACCAATGAACAAAAAATTAAAGCTGTAGCTATAACTTAGAGAGTAGAGTGCTTGTATCTCAGTGGGTAGAGTGCTTGTAGCACAGAAGGTAGGATGTCTGTAGTTCAGTGGTTAGAGTGCTTGTCGCTCAGAGGACAGGGTGTTTGCAGTTCAGTGGTTAGAGTGCTTGTAGCTCAGCAAGTAGAGGACCTACAGCTCTGTGGGTAGAGTGCTTATAGCTCAATGAGTAGAGCTTGCAGTTCAGTAAATAGAGTGCTTATAGCTTAGTGCTTGTAGCTCATCTAGAATGCACAAGGCCCTGGGTTCCATCCCAAGCACCACATAAATCAGGTGTGGTGTCTCATGCCTGTCATCCCAGCAATTGGGAGGTGGAGGCAGGAAGATCAGGAGTTAGAGGTCATCCTCGGCTACATGAGTTTGAGGCCAGCCTGGTCTACACAGTACTGTATCTGAAAAAGGAAAATAAAACATCAGGTCTTAGGAGATGGCTCAGTAGTAAGAGTAAACATGCTGAGCAAACATGAAGACCCGAGTTTAAATCTCCAGCACCCACTTAAGCCAGTGTGGGAGCAAGAGGCCAGTGTTGTTGGGGTGGAGAGAGACAGGAGGATTGCTTGGGCCAGTCTGGCTTGAAGTCCAGTGAGACTCTGTGTTCAATGGAATAAGGCAGAGTGGGATAGAGTAGGACACTCATTGGGTAAAGGGGTTTGGTGCCAAGCCTGACAACCTGAATTTGAGCCCCAGGAGCCACATAGGAGAAGGTTGTCTTGGTGTCATCTTCCTGATGTCAGAAGAGTCCTCTGACCTCTGCACCTGTGCTATACCATATGCACACTCACACACAAAATAAATGTTCAAACAAAAAAAGAGGGTTTTCTTCTCTAAGATAGAACATCTGGCTTCTAAGAACACGCAACCTGTCTGCCATGGTGCAGTGCACTCCCACAGTTCATGAGGGTGACACCGCATGGGACTGGGTTTTCTACTAGGGCCTTGTTATGAGGATCTTGGGGGCACTGTTTCCTGAGCCCAACCCCTCATCTTACATGCATCCCACACCCCTTCAGGTGGCCCATTTCCCTTTCTCAGTCACAAGTAAAGCTTCGGGCAGATTCACAGACTGGACGAAGCTGGCTGAGGCGTTGGTTCACTGCTCTAGTATGGGAGGCGGGATGCTGACCTGCCTCTGGTCCCTGCATCTCCCACAGATGCTCCTGGGTCGGGGTGGGGCTGGGGACCCTGTGTTCTCACAGAGAGCATGTGGTGGGGGATGAACAGTGTCGACTTTGGCCATGGCCTGACCCCTGCATGCTGGGCTGCTCTGGCCTTGGCCTGGTGAATCAAAGGGCCATTGTGTGGTTGGCGTGGGTTCAAGGCCCCTCTCTGGGCCACCTCCCACATACTGGGGAACCCAGGAGCTCCCAAGGGACACCCTGGTGCAACTGTCACCTCCCTGTTTGGCTGTGTCTCTCACCACAGCTCTGCAAGTCCAGTGTCCCTGTGTCCCCAGCTCGGGCAGCCACCCCATGATTACCGTTCAACTCCCCAGGCTTCCCTGTCACCAAGACCTGAGGGGAACACAGGAAACGACAGACCCATGTCCCCCTGCAGGGGTGGAGTTTTGGCAGCTGGAGGATGAGGCTGTTTGAAGGTGGCCTGAGGAGGTTGAGGCTGACTCACAAGGGATTTGTGTGTGCACGCTCCTGTGTGCTGGGAACCAGAGAGGCCCATAGCCAATTGCTGTTCACATTATTTTTATTAATTAATTTTTTGAGACAGGGTCTTGTTGTAGCTCCACCTGGCCTGGAACTCACTATGTAGTCTAGGCTGTCTGAACTCACAAAGATCTACCTGCCTCTGTCTCCTGGGTGTTGGGATTAAAGGCATGTGCCACCACACCCAGCTTTTTTTTGTGTGTGTCTTTTTGAGACAGGGTCTCCTTGCAGCCCCAGCTGTCCTGGAACTCAGGCTGGCCTTGAACTCATAGAGATTCTCCTGCCTCTGCCTCCCGAGTGCTGGGATTAAAGGGCATACACCACCATGCCTGGCTTTTTTTTTTTTTTTTTTTTTGATACAGGAATTTGTGTAGCCCCAGCTAGCCTAAATTCACTATGTAGCCCAGGCTGGCCTTAAACTCATGACAATTCTCCTACCTCAGCCTCCTGAGCACTGGGATGATAGGTGTGCACCAACACATCGAGTTTGACACACAAATACTGAAACTCTGCACAAAGTACTTTGCTGGAGACTGGGAAGGCAGCTGGCTCAGTAGGTAAAGTACTTGCCAAACAACTAAGATGACCTGAGCTCAAATCCCCAGCATCCATGTAAAAGGTAGGCATGACAGAGCACACTTGCAATCCCAGTTGGGAACTGGGGATAGGATGACTTTGTGAGCTCCCAGCAAATAAGGTGGACGGCTCCTGAGGAACAAAACCTGAGCTTGTCTTCTGGTTCTCATGTGCACGCGCAGAGCCTCTCATTTTACATTTATTTAGTGTGTGGGCCATGTGTCATGTATGTGTATGGAGGTCAGAGGATAACTCTCAGAGTTAGTTCTCCCACCATGTTGGTCCTGTGGATCAAACTCAGGTCACATTTGGTAGCAAGCCCCTTCACCCACTGAACCATCTTGCCAGCTCAATTTATTTTTTGAAGATTTATTTTTATTTTTAATTATGTGTGTGAGGGGGTTATGTATACATAAGAGCAGGTGTCTTCAGGCCGGGGACATTCGATCCTCTGGAATGGAGATACAGCTGATTGTGAGTTGCCTGATGTGGGTGCTGGGAACTGAACCTGGTCTTCTGCAAGACCAGCCAGTGCTCTTAACCACTGAGTCATCTCTCCAGCCCCCAATTTATTTTGAGACAGGGTCTCACTCTGTAGCCCTGGCTGGCCTGGAACTCACTATATAAACTAGGTTGTCCTCAGTCTTGCAGAGATCTGCCTGCCTCTGCCTCCCAAGTGTTGAGGTTAAAGGTACGTGCAATGGCACCCAGCTTTGGCCATCTTATTTTTTTTTAATTTATGTATTTTTATTTTATGTATGTGTTTTGCCTGTATGTATGTATGGCACCACGGAGACCAGAAGTGCCTGTCAGATCCCCTGGAACTGGAGTTACAGATGGTTGTTAGCCATCCTGTGGGTGCTGGGAACTGAACCCAGTCCTCTGAAAAAGCAGCCAGTGCTCCCAACTGCTGAGGCATCTCTCCAGCCCCCACTACCTTATTTTTTGAGACAGGGTTTCTTACTGAACTTGGAGCTCGATGATTCATCTAAATTGGCTGTCCATCAAGCCCCAGGTAACCTCCTGTCCCAGAGCTGAGATTCTATCCTCACATAGAGCTTTTTACTTGGGTGTTGGGGATCCAAATTCAAATCTTCATGCTTACGTGACAACCACCTTACCAGAGGTACATTCCCCCCAGCCCTCCTTTGCTGTTTTTGTTTTTGAGACAGGGTTTTTGGTTTGTTTTTTTTTGTTTTGTTTGTTGTTTTGTTTTTTGAGATAAGGTCTGGCCCTGTTTTGCAGGCTGTCTTGGGATTCTAGACCCTTCTACCTCAGTCTCCCTAGGGCTGGGTTCTAGGCCAGCTCCAGTCTGTTGAGGTGAGAAAGCCAGAACGTTTGTGCTTTGAGGATGAAACCGAGAGATTTAAATCTGGAAGGCAAGACAGAGGGGTCTAGCTGTCTGGTCCCTGACCCAGAACCTGGGAAACTGTCTTTTTTTGGCTAGGGACCACGCTAGGGTCCTTCTGTACCTTTCTGTACCACGCTAGGGACCTTCAAAGGCCTGGAGGTAATAAAGCACACTTGACAGTCCAGAACTTGGAAGGCTGAGACAGGAGGATGACAAATTCCAGGACAGCCTGGTCTGCATAGCCAGACCCTGACTCGAAAAACAATAAGGAAAAAATTGGGCTGGGCATGGTGACCCACGCCTTTCCCAGCAAGATTTTAGTAAGACCCTGCTTCAGTCAATCAATTTTAATTATTTATTTTTCATCATGTACGTGTGTGTGTGTGTCTCTCTCTCTCTCTCTCTCTGTGTGTGTGTGTGTATGTGTGTGTGTGTGTGTGTGTGTGTGTGTGTTTGTGTGTATGGGTATAGGTGCCTGTGGGGGATCAGAAGAAGGTATCAAATCCCCAGAGCTGGAGCTGGAGTTATAGGCAGTTGTGAGCCACTCAACATGGGTGCTAGGAATTGAACTCAGGTCCTCTGGAAGAGCAGCAAGTGCCATCTCCTTGCCTAGTAAATATAGATGATGATAGATAGATAGATA